TGAACAATGTATTTGTGTTTTAAGCTAAGTGTTATTACAAAAGAGTAAAAAAGTTAAAAAAAATTTAAAAGTTTACAAAGTAAAAAAGTTTTAGTAAGCTAAGGTTAATTTACTATTAAAGTATTTTTTATAAATTGAGTATAGCCTAAGTGTACAGTATTTATAATGTCTACAGCAGTGTACAGTAATATTCTAAGCTTTCGCATTCACTCATCACTCACTGACTCACCCAGAGCAACTTCCAGTCCTGCAAGTTCCATTCACGGTAAGTGCCCTATACAGGAGTACCACTTTTTTTTTTTACCACATTTATATATCTTTTCTATGTTTAGATATGTTTACACACACAAATACCATTGTGTTACAATTGCCTACAGTATTCAGTACAGTAACATGCTGTAAAGAATTAGAGTCCAGCAGCAATAGGCTATACCATCTAGCCTAGGTATGTAGTAGGCTACACCATCTAGGTCGTGTAAACATGCTCCATGTTCCCTGAGTGATGAAATTACCTAACAATGCATTTCTCAGAACTACCTTTGTTAAGCAACTGGTAACTGTAGTTCAATTCAACTTCGGTACTGACAGCTTGAGTCAAGTAATGACCAGAATTCACAGCTTCGTTAAATGATATGTATGCATGTTAACAAAGAAAAGATATATGGTGATGTTTAGTGATTACTAATTTTTCTCATCCTGCTCTATAAAAGTACTTTATGATTATTAAAACTATATCAAGTTTAGGCTTTAATATACCAGCAATTATGTTAAAGTATCTCAAAAATAGAAAGAACCATGAATGCCTTAATTCAACCTTGTGAATATTCTTATCAGACATGAAAAAATTTCCATGATTTTTAAATATTTGAAAATCACATACTTGTCTATTCCTTCCCCCTTACACAAGATCAATGTAACCACCACAAACAAATAAGAATCTATTTTATTATTAAAGATCATCAAAGAAAAATTCTAAAATCTATTTTTAAACCATTTAATAGCCTAAAAGCCTTCACTGTCAATTTTTCAGGTTGTAATTACTGTTCTTAAAACATTTATTCACCCTAAATATGCTAAAATAAATTTAAGCAACTTTATAAAAACAAAGAACTCAGTGAAAATTAAATTATTTTTAACTTAGTTAATATCATAATAACACATATTCTCTCTCTTTTCACATCACATGCATGGTGAACACTTTCTCATGCTTTTATAACCTTAAGGCCAGGCATGTTAAGATTTTACAAGTTGGGTAAGTGGTCTATATTTATGCTTTTCTGTGTGCTTAATGTATTTTAGTTTTTCTTCTGATTTAAATACTCTGTGCTTATTTTAGAAAATGCAGAAAGTTTAAAAAGTAAAGATCCATTTCATGACCAAGAAGATTTCTTTCCATTCTCTTCAAAATAAATTCTACATGATTGAGTTATATTGCTTTCTATTCAATAAACACAATAAGCTCAGATTCCTCTTACCTTCATTGTATCAATGAGAGTCTGATTCAGTCGCTGGATATGACTAAGCAGCTTCTTCCTCTCCCACAAGGAACTAAAATTATAACAGGATAAGCAAATCTATCATTATTTGCTTAATAATCATCCCTGGAATACATAATAGTATATAATCAACTCTAGATTATCCACAGTAATAGAAAGAGAAGTTAGATTGGACGGATGAATAATTCAAACACACTTCTCCTAGAAACTCTCTTTACCTTTCTCCTACGATAGGGGACTCTCCTGCTAAATCAATGTAGGTCTCGCCCAGGGTTCTGCCCTTGATCCTCTTCTCTTTTGGTAAACTGAGACTTGATAAACTCAACATCTCCATCTCTACTCAATGCTCACTTTGTACATCAAACTTATTTTAACCAAGCTGAGTCAACATCTACTCTCACAAGCTTAGACTGGCTTATGAGCACCTGGTATGACTTAGGCAGGAATCAAATATATACGTGAAGGTTTTAACTTTATTTATACTCATCTTCCATTGTCAGTAATCCCTCATAATGCTCCAGTTTCAAGAAAAAATTTAATGGGAATTAGATTTGAAAAGCTCAAAATCCTATGATTCATTATCCTACTTCATTTACAATTACTTATTGGTCCTCACTCCTGTCTAAGTGTCAACAGAAACAGGCAAGGGGTTTTACTGACCTACTAGCTAATCAGATTGAAAATAAATCTTTTGCTAGAAGCCATATATAGACGTGGAATCAGAAGCACTACACTGGCCTTTATGTTGTACTGAGATTGATGGTAATAAAAAATCTAAGAATGATATTCTTGGGATGAATAGAAGCATTAGTATAGCTGATAATTAATGCAGTATACCTTTTACTATTCCCCATCCTCCTCATCAGTTCGACATAACATGCACAGCACAAAACTAGGCTTTAAGAAGTACTTATAGGTAGACTCAGGTTAAGGGTAGTCACATGGTTGAACATTACCAGAAGTCACAGCATAAAATACTAACCCTAAACCAACCTCACTATTACTCAGTATTTTCCTGAACTGATACTCAGTATTTATTACTTAATGAAAACCTGGCTGGGCATAGTGGCTCATGCCGGTAATCCTAGCACTCTGTTAGGCCAAGGCCAGAGGATTGACTGAGGTCAGGAGTTCGAGACCAGCCTGAGCAAGAGCGAGATCCATCTCTACTAAAAATAGAAAAAAATTAGCCAGGCATGGTGGCGCACACCTGTAGTCCCTGCTACTCCGGAGGCTGAGGCAGGAGGATCACTTCAGCCCAGGAGTTTCAGGTTGCAGTGAGCTATGATGACGCCACTCCACTCAACCCAGGATAGGGATTATGGGCATGAGCCACTTTGGGAGGCTGAGGTGGCAGGATCACTTGAGGCCAGGATTTTGCAACCAGCCTGGGCAACATATCGAGACCCTATCTCTGCAAAAAAAAAAAAATTTAAAAACTAGCCAGGCATGGTGATGTGCTCTTGTAGTCCTAGCTACTTGGGAGGCTGAGGCAGGAAGATTGCTTGGGTCCAGGAATTTGAGGTTACATTGAGCTATGATCATGCCACTGAATTCCAGCCTGCTGGACAGAGTGAGACTCTATCT